AATATTATAATCAGGTTAACTAGTTCCTTCTTGTTATATATCTAAATTTTTCAAATTTTTCCAATTATAAATAAATATGCAGTGAAATCCTTATTTGTAAATTTTTGAGTTTGGTTGTTATTGTTATTTCTTTAAGATTAAAGTGAGGGTATGAACTTTCAAAGGCCAGGTACTTTTCAGACAGATTGTGTCAACTTCCCTTGCCCCAGCAATGAATGCCAATAGCAGTCTCTCGGTTTATTTTTAACTGGCTTGATAAGTACTTTATTTCAGATTTTGTTGAGGGAGTCATAAGGAACTCTTTCCAGATATTTTCATTGGCCTGTCATCTATTATGGATCATAGTTAGCACATATACTCCGCTGCTGATTTTAGCTACCTTGTTCAGTATTCAATAAGCATTTATTTTTATACTGTGTGCCAGGTAATTACTATTATATGCTGTTAAAGCATTGGGAGAAGGAGAGCTGAAGGGACTAGGTGAGAGGGGATAGTCTATTGTAAACCTTTCACCTACATGTTACCTCTGTGATTATGAGCAAATCATGTAACTTTTCTGGTTTCAATTTCTTCTGCTTTAAATTGGGCAAGGCAGATATATGAGTACCTCTTAATATTTAATGGTCAAAGACTTTTTTGAGGAGCTGATGAATGCTGTGGAACTTTTATTAAAGCCACACACATACATATGCACACCCATGCAAAAATTAACGGGTGCTTTAGGAACTTCTAGGAAATCTATGGGAGCTCTGGTGGTGTAGTGCCTAAAGCATTTGACTGCTATCCAGAAGTCCAGTGGTTCAAACCCACCTGTCACTCCTCGGAAGGAAGACTGGGAAATCTACTTCTATAGTGATACTGCCTCAGAAACCCAAAGAGGGGTTGCTAGGAGTCAGATCTGACTTGATGGCAGTGAGTTTGTTTTGGTTTAGGAAATCTATGGATGATTTCTTACAATCACCTGGAATTAAGGAGCTCAGAGTCACTACTGATTTTATAATACTGTGGTTGTGATAGCTTTAACAAATCTGGATCATTTATTATTTATTTAACAGATTTAATAGATTATATTTGGCCCCTGCTTAAAACAGTCCAACTACTTTCCATTGAAATTTAAATCCAAATCAAATTAATTTCCCACCTTGGCCAGCAACACACAAGATCTGGCTTCTCTTTAACCTCATCACTTACCATTTTCCTCCTTAAGTTGCTTTACTCAAGCTACACAGGGTTTTTTGGTACTTAGCATCATGGCAGGATATAAGATCAACATCCAAAAATCAGTTGGATTCCTCTACACCAGCAAAGAGATTGCTGAAAAAGAAATAAGGAAATCAAT